TGCCTGCCTTGCAGGGGCAAGGACCTGAGTTCGATCTCCGGTACCAAAAAAAAAAAAAGGTCATGACACATGACCCACCATGACAGGTACAGCATACCCAGAAGTGTGGTCTACTAATAACCCCTTAGGCAGCTTCCAAGTCAATGGGGTTGACAATTAAGCTTAAACATCACTTTCTCCCTTCAACACACACATTTAATTATCTTGACATCTAAGTTGAAAAAGTTATTGACTATACATAAATCAATTTCTGGATTCTCTATTCTTTTCTGTTGATGTATATTTAGTTTTGTGTCAATATTATGTATACTTAAACCTTGACAATAAATATTCTGTAATTTTGTTCTTCAAAATTATCTTGGTTTTTATCAGTGCTTCAAATTTCTATACATATTTTAGAATCAGTTGTTAATTCTCTCCCTTGTGCAAACACAAACACTGTTTTAAATTTTTATCTTTTGAAGTATGGTGAAATACAGAAGAGGATGTCAATCATAAATCTTGGATTTCCACATAAATCTATATAACTGATACCCAGATCAAGAAATAGAGCTACACTAGCACCCTAGGGCACCCTTTAAATCATCCATCCCAAAAGGATACTTATCTAGCTTCTTTTGCTTAAATGTACGAGGATCACTCATACTGTTGAAAATACTTTTGTTCATTGTATATGATCCCACTTTGTGAAATAACATAGTTCATTCATCCATCCTATTATTGATAAGCATGTGGGTCATTTCCAGGTTGGGGCTACTATTAATTCCGCTCTGAACAATCTCAATCTTCCCTCTGGGGGAAGATATATAAGCATTTTTAGTTGGCTTACCCATAGGAATGCAATTATGGGGTATTAATACTTTTATCTGTTAAGCTTCTTTCAATTTTTATTTTTTATTAGTACATGTTTGCAGTACATAATGGTGACATGCCTCATGGGGAGTTGGCACATGTACATAAAACACCACATTTCTTTTTCATCCCTTCACTCCCCCCATCCTATCTCTTGATCCCCTTCCCATTTGCAAAAGATTGGCATATTTCCTATTATTTATACTTTATTTTGCTTTTTGTGTGTTTTATGTTTTAGTAGATATTGCAAACAGCATTCCAAAATGATTACACTATTTTACCCTCCTAATAAGTTTGTTGTTCTTGTTGATAAGATAGTATTTTCAGTTTTTGCCATTCTGATAAGTATGTAGTGGTACTGCATTTAGCTTAAAGATGTTTTAAAATTGTGATGAAATATACTAAAATTTACCATCTCAATTATTTTTATGTTCAGCAGCATTAAGTCCATTCACATTATTGTGGGACCTACACCACTATCCATACACAGAACTTTCATCTTCTTAAACTGAAACTCAGTAAACATTAGGCAGTAATACCTGCATTTCCCCTCTCTCCAGCTGTCTCTATAATTTTGGCTAAATACCTTATCTAACTACAATCAACCAGTACTTTTTTTGTGACTGGATTGTATCACTTAGCATAATGTCATCAAGTATTGCCATGTTTTACTATATGTCATAACTTCTCTCTTTTAAAGCTAAATAACATTCCATTTTGTGTATATTTCTGTATTTGTCATTGGACACTTGGACTGCTTCCACCTTTTGGCTACTGTAAATAATGCTGCTATGAACAGGGATGCACAATATCTGAGTTCTTGCTTTTAATTCCTTTGGGTACATATCCAGAAAAGCAATTTTTTGATTACATTGTAATTCCATTTTTAATTTTTGGAGGAACCATTATACTGCTTCCCAGTATGGTGGAAAACAAGAGTTCTAATTTTCTACATATTTGACTACACTTATTATTTTTAAACTAGCCATCCTAATGAGTGTAAGATGTGACACTGCACCATTAATTTCCCTTTTCCTCCTGAAAAATACAGCTGAATGTCCTTCTGCGGTTGCTTGCCTTGCAAACTCTTTTGTAAAGTGCCTGTTCGTGTCTTTGCTTACAAACTGTTGCTTTTTCTCATTGAAATTTACTTATCATTCTGCATGATTAATTTGTTATATTTATGCTTTGCAAATATATTCTCTTATTTTATGGGCTGCATTCTAGTAGAAGGGGGTCTATCGCTTATTCAATGCCCATGATTTTCAAAATCAAGCTTTGGTCCCATTCATTCCTTAAGATCTAAAAGCAAGTAGTTTTTTCTATCAAACATCCTTTTATTACTTTCTTATAATTCCAGACTCTACTAATTTTCTTTATCTCTGCTCTTTTAGAGTATTTACCATATAATACGTGAAGCAATAAGATTGAAACCTTGTCTGTCTCATATATCTTACATATTGCTTAAGTACTTTATACGCATTACTTTCCCACCTTGACTTTAGATCAGAGGGCGAGGATCCTCTTTATATTACTCTTGGTATACACCAACATGTAGGGCAGTAGTAGCAGGAGCCTAATACCTGTAATATCGTTGGGGAAATGTTACTATTACAAGGAATACCTACTATCCACTAAGAACTGATACCAAATAAGCTATGCAAATTAAACTCATTTTGTTAAAGAGGGCTTGAAAGCAATACCACAGAGTAGTCAATCTCTACTATGTGAAACATCCACTTTTGACCTAGAATTGGTAAAATTATACTACTCTCATGCTTTTAACCTGCATTTGGTCTCTTGGGTAAATGCATACCCATTAAAATTAAGTCTGCATTGGCCTGGAATGGTAAGGCAGTGTATGGCACTGACATGGAGTTTGAGCATCTTGTTATAATTAACTATCTAAATTTTTTCAATAAAGATGAGGGTACTGAAGGTGGTGATGATGTTAATATTCTTCAAATATCAAATATTTTGAACTTATATTTAACTTTTAAAATAGTTTTTAAGCAACACATCCATTGCACAACTTGTTCTTTCAGTTCTCCAATCATCAGTATATGTGTGGACCCAGAAAGAACTCTAGAAGTTATATCTGAGCTCTTTTGGAGAAAAATAAAACATTTACAAAAAAACTTTATTGTAATACATTTTGGGGGAAATGACTACCTAATTAAATTACATTTTATTGTTTATCTTCCTGGACTGAGATGAAGAAAAATTAGATGTGTTCTCTTCAGGGTGTTCCGATGGAATGCCTGCATTTCTCTTACAGTATCAGATAACAAGACAACCCATGTTTTTACAGGCTTTCTGGCTTTCTGCCCTTCCCACCGGAATTCTACAACAAATATCTCTTAAGTCCAAGAGGAACTTTCTTTAAATAAAACGCTCCACATGTTATTCTAGAATCCTCTTTCTGATTGCTAAATCAGAGAAAAACTGAGTCAAACCTCTTAGGGCTTTCTCTATCAGCTAGTGAGGTATTTAGGAAGGTACAAGAAACCCTTGAAGCCTCTAGGGCACTATCATATTATTGTCACAAAACTGACAGAGCAATTTGCTATGATACGATCAATTCAGTCATTATTACAATAGCATTTCAATGCTATAACAATTATTACATTATTACATTATTACAATGAAGCATTTCCTCAGGTGTTTAACTCATTATGGAAAAGCAATATTGAGTATACAGAATGCTTAGTGACCGGAGGTAGGTGGGAAAATGAGCGATCTGGTTAGCACAGAGTTTGGGTGTAGTCAACAGAGGCTGCTTATTCCACCTTAACACTGAATCACAATCTAGACAAGAGGGAAGACAGGTTAATGGCAGAAAGTGTATGCCTGCTGTCCTTTCTGTCTCTATCTATATCCAGATAACAGGAAGAAATAGCTTCCCATGAATTAATTTCTGTTCTAGCTCACTGGCAATGAATCAGATTACTACCCTTGCTGGAATTAGATGTGTTATTGCTATGAAAAGTGTACAATTTTGTTAGCAAAGATGAAGAATATATACTAGGCAAGTAAACTAGCCATTTCTAATGTTCGATTAATTACATTGTGACATACTTTATATTTTGAATCTCGCCGTCACAGTTTTCTAAAAATTTATGGTTTTATTCCTTTGTAAGTTCACTACAACAAAGAGCATAACGAGGTATCCCTTTTCATAAGTATTGTTTTTCAACTTACCTGATATTTCAATGAGAAAGGGCAACTTATGACACGTTCATTCTATGGATTACTGCATCAAAAATGATAAATATATGGTAAAAATTTTTCATAAGCTCTTCATAAAAAAATACATTGAAGTGATTAACAAAAATGAGAAAGATGTTCACCTTTGTCACTGAAAATATGCAAAATAAAACCATAATGAAATATTATGCATTGAGCCAAAGGTTTAAAATTTTTAAAAGACATGATATCAAGCATGGGTGAGGATGTGAAGCAACTAAAACACTCATACTCTAACATTCAAATTAGAGAGCTTTTCATAAACCCCTTCCCCTACCGAATGAAAACAAAGAAATTCTGAGCATAAATTAGAGCTTCAGTCTGCATGAAGGCAGGAAGAATGGGGCTAGAGTACAAAATATGAGAAAAAGCTTAAAGTTACTTCTGATTTATGGGGGCATCACAGAAAGGTCTGAAGTAACCCCATGAGGCTACTAGAATCACTGGGCACACAGCAGAAGTAGATGAAAATAGCTTTAAAGGTGTCTTCCATAAGACTATTAGAATATCTACTTATTAAAACCAAAGAAATATGAAATCAAGATCTAAGACCACTGAGTATATAAAGAAGCAAGCCACTGCGTGTAAAAAGAAAAACAATACAGTCATTTACATATAGGAATTGTCAGACAGATACAGAGTACACAATAAGTCAGTAAGAAATGCTTAAAGAAATGACAAGGAATTACAAACATAAGCATGTCATAAGGGACTATTAAGAATAAGCAGAAAGATAAACATAATAATAAAATGAAACTTCCAAAATGACATGTAGATTTGCAGAACTCCAAACAACAATGAAACAGATCACATTGCAGGCTTTAATGGATGAAACAAAATGGAAGAATGAACTGGAGAATGAGCTGAAGAAATGACCCAAAATGCAGCACAGAGAGTAAGCGATGGAAAAAAGGCAAAAAGGTAAGAGATACATAAAACAGAAGGAGCAGAATCATATTTATTCTGAGCCCTTGAAGAAAAGACGAGAGAGAACTGAGAAAAACAGCTAAAGAGAGTGATGTGGAATTGTCTCAACATGGCACCAGGCATGGAGGGTGGCACACACCTGTACTTCTTGCACTCCGAGGTGGCACTCCTGAGGTAGGAAGACTGCAAGCTAAAGGCCAGCCTGGGCAACAAAGTGACTTAGTGAGAATCTGTCCCTCACAAAATGAATACTAAAAGGGCTGGGGGTGTAGCTTAGTACAAAAGCACTGGATCCAATTCAAAAGGGTCATCTATAAAGGTAAAACAACGACAAAGACAGAATGAAATAGAAAAAGGGTAAAAGAATAGAAACCCATGCTGGGGATTTAGCTCAGTGGTGTTGCCACCTGCCCCATAAGTGCAAAGTCCCGAGTTCAATCCCCATACCAAAAAAAAAGGAAAGGAAAAAGAAAGAAACCTGACAAGTTTCATAATAGAGAACATAGAAAAAGTTGAAGTAATTCTAACAATTCCAAACACATCAGTAATTATAATAATGTAAATGAATTAAACTTGCCAATTAAAGGCTATATTGCCGTATTAGATAAAATACCAAAATCCAGCTATGTAAAGTTTATAACAGATACATCTAAAATGCAAGGTCAGAGAAAGTCTGAAATAAATTGCAAGGAGTAAAAACCTATATAAGATAGACATCAAAAAAATAGAACTGTGTGGGCCGGGGATTTTGCTCAGGGGTGCTGCCACCTGCCTCACAGGCATTCCTTGTTTTTTGGTGTAAAAAGTCATAAATAAAAAGAGTAAATACATATGAAAAGATGACATTAGTATTAGCTTGTGGAATTAAAGATTTTTTTTTTGTTTTCTAACTTTCCTTTGGTTATGATATTACTTTTATAATTAATGCACTTTTTCCAAAAATGAAGTATAGAGGTAAAGAGTTTGGATAATTGAGGGTTTTCATGGTGTTAATTGTGGTTTTAAAACTGGATACTTATAGTCTATAGCTTCAGTTTCTATCTCAGTGTTTATCAAATTGAGGACATTTTAACTAGCAAAACTTAACTTATTGGACTTTTGCTGAAACATCAAACGATTTACTTATGGGATTAAATATCCCAGACACTACCTGACTTATACATTAAAGAATGTGCATTGCCACAGTTTGGTCTTTTCAGTAAGAAGAGAAAAATCTGGGGGAAAATACACTCCAAATTTAAATATTCTCATTGTAAATAACTACATCATTCTGAATATTTGTACCAACAAAAGAGCTACAATTCTAGACTTCTGCCAAGATATTGCTGGGCAGGGATTTGCTACTCTGGTAAAAAAGTAAAGACCAAAGTTGGTAATTCTTCTTTTTCTCATATAGATACTTGCTTTGGACTTAAATTAACATGTTGTCATCCCTAAAACTCAATATTCTACCTCTATTCTTACTTTTTGAAGCATTTCTGATATGCAATAATCATATAAATAAGAACATCATATAAATAAGAACCAACTGTGGTATATAAATGGAAAATAAGGCAACATGCTAGGAAGCTGGGTCTAAAGAAAGGCACAGGATGAACTCAGTGTGATACTGACAACAGAGTAAATGGACTCTTTGAATATATAATCCAAACTCTAAGCTGTGAAGTCTAGCTAATCCAGTACAAAAAATACATGTTTCAAGATATTTAAATTTTACTGTATGAAATTCCAGAAAAATAAGACCATGTTGGAAAAGTAAAACTAAAGTGCATCGTTATATTTTAGGAAAAAAACAAGAAAATGACAAATTCTAAATTCTTATGAATATTTTTACTCAATAGACATTTTAGAATCTCTTGAGATTCAAATTTCCAACATATTCAGCTTTTTTTTTGTTGTTTTTTGGTGTTACTGAGGATAGAATCTAAGGCTTTTGCACTGAGCTATATACCTAGTCCTTTTTTAATTATTTTATTTTTAAACAGGGTATTGCTAAATTGCCTGGGCGGCCTTGCAATATCCTCCTGCCTCAGCCTCCCAGAGCACCGGGGATTAATGCCACTTTTTCTTTTCTATCATTATCTTTTGTTTACCTTTTAAGACTAGTGGATTGTAACATACAAACAAAGAGCACAAACTTCTACAAATCGTGATCTTACACAATAAAGTTTAAAGTCAACTTTTCAATGTTTAGGTGCTTTCCCCTTTCTCTAAATTGGCAGATCCCTTTTATCTTAAAATGTAAATCCTTCTTGTGAGACATCTCCTAATTCCATGATGTCTAGGCCAAAACCTAGAAGTTACTCAGACTGTAGGAGATGGAGCACATCACGGAGGATCTAGTCACCATTTACCTGGTAAATACAAGCCTTCCCTAGATTAAGGTCCTCAATTATTTTTAGCCTTGGAGATCAGAAATGTCATTATGTTGACTCAGTGAACCTTTTCCTACAGTTGCCTTTCTTGTGTGTATTCAGTGATGTCTTGGACTCAGTAGTAACTTTGCCGGTCTACCGACAGTTTATACGGGTCTCTACTTGTTTCGCTCGGAATGTGTGAGCAATTTAGACACACGTGTCCGCAACATTCAGGAAACCCCTCCAGACAACGAATCCACAAAAGGTGAGGCCTCTAAGTATACAAACGAAACAATGAAAGATCTGATTTCTGGAGCAAGCCAGCCAGGCAACTTTAAGGCCGAAGGGCAAAAGGGGTCCAGGGAACCAGGGTCTCGGGCGGCCCGCCAAAAGCAGTTCCCACCACAAAGAGTCAACGCTCGGCATCCCGTGACTAGGGCAACGCTGTAACCCGACGCCGAGGCTCGAGATTCCGCATCCACTGCCACCAGGCGACGAAGACCAGCGCATCACCGCGGGCTGCGGCGACTCCGAGGGGTCCCTGCCCTGCCGCTGCTGCCCCTGGGGCGCCAGGTGCGGAGATGCCACCTCCACG